AGGGAAAATAGTCTGCAAAATTCTGTGACTGTCAAAACATCATTTGGATTTTATTTTATTTTATTTTATTTTATTTTTAAAAGCAGGATGTACAGCAACAAATATTGTTACTCTCCAACACATTAGTCCCAAAGCTGTAAGAACCCATGTGCCTTGTTGATTCCTGTATTCTTATTGCTTAAAGTGTGTGAGTTATGCATCAGATGTTTCCCCCTTGCCCATTTTTATATATCCTGCTTTGCTAGCTGCAATAACAACAAATTTAGCTGTTGCCTAATGTAAGTGATGATATCCCCATGATGTATTTTTGATTTTGCTATATTTTGATACTGCATCACAGCATGTGCTACAGAGGCTGCAATGACCTTTGAAAAGCCAGAAAGGTAGTATTTTGAATAAAGCACAAAGACCCCAGACATGTGGACTGCTTAAACACAAAAGGATAAAATTGGCTTGTTAAAAGAGGCATCCCACCCTCACCCCATGGTCTGCATTTCCTACTGAAACAGAAAGCAAAGGATGGGTTGTCACCAATAGACCAAACAAGACCATGCAGTCCTTTATTCCCTAGTCTATTTCCATGTACCCTTCCTGTCCACACATTTTGGGGTGCTCCAGATCCAGTACTGCTTTGTGAAGCCATCAGTCAAATTAGTCTTTTCCATCTTCTGGATATTAAAGCAACCCACCACTACAGAAGTATTTGTTTCTAAGGAAATCACCTTAGCGTGGGTCTAGTTTTCAAGTGTAAATCTGACTAGGAAAAGCCTGCTTCTTCAATAAAGTAACCCCCCCCCCCACTATACCTGGTGACTGTTGCCCTCAGACTCCTTGTCTGAGTCGTTCCTTCTTTCTGTGGACCATTCTTCAAAACAGGTAAATATTACCCTTCAATCCAACCCTCCAAATCCTCTATCTTCTTTCACTTTTCCATTTCAGTTAGCTGGATGTTAAGTGAGTTATTTTCATATGTGTGTTCCTTCATATATCTTCCAAATAAAAGATTTCTTAGTTCATCCATGCCTGGAGTCTCTACCAGTTAGTATCAGTATAAATGACTGCTCCCTGGTCTAATGGTTGCCCAAGCCTCTTGCAAAGCTAATTTCCCCAACAATTGAAGTATCACTGGCAGCTGGTGGGGACCCCCAGAAGGACCAAAAAGGTATCCCCACCTGTTCTTTGGGTGACAGCAGCAATAGTGCATCCCCAATTGGGCTCCTGGTGTTCTAATGCACCTTCCCCTGAAACACCACTACAAGTAGAGTCTCCCTTATCTGACATGCTTGAGACCAGAAATGCTTTTTTTGGATTTTGGAATATCTGTATTTGGATATACCTACATAAAATGAGAGACATAAATTTCATTTATGTTTCATATACATCTTATATTCATAGGTGAAAGGTAATTTTATACAACCTGTTTAATAATTTTGTACATAAAACAAAGTTTGTGTACACTGAACCATCAGAAAGCAAAGGTGTCAGTATCTCAGCCCCCCCGTGAAAAAAAAAAGTTTTGTTTTTTTTGGAATAGTTCAAATTTTGGAATTACAGATAAGGAAGACTAAACTTGTACTATCTTCTGCCTAAATATTGGATGAAGGTGCTTTGGTCATCTCACCACTCAGTTGTATCAAATATTTGGGTCAGTTTTGGTTCATGGAACACAGGAAAGTTTGGATTTCTTGGCTCTAGGTCTTTCTTATTAGAAAAATCAGCCATGGTGCTTCTTCATGTTACCCTTTCAATTCATTGGGTTAAATCCTGACACCAAATCTTATCCAAGTAAATTCTTTTGTAGTTCTGCCCCTCATAACATGACTGAAAGTCAACACCAGTTATTGAATACCACTAAGTGAGCATGTTCTTGGCAATGTCTACACAGACTGGGGCTAGTGACAGTATGAAAGCATGTGTCACACTTGTGAAATCTGATTGGCATGTCACAGCCCAAAGAGAAACGTCAGCACTATCTTCACCCAGTGTCTCCTATAATTGGGGTCATCAGTATAAAGATCCAGTCTCAGCCTCCTTCTCCCCACCCAGTTTGCATCTATGTATTTGCAGAACTGCGGGAAGGGCAAAGCAAAATCTTTGCATGGCTATCATTTTGGGAAGGTCCCTACTTTACACTCTGTTTATGATGGCATTATGCTGTAGTTTATTAAGGTATTGCAATATGATTTATTATGGAACTATGCATCACTATAGCACCATGGACACACTTGATTTTGTCTGATTTTAGAAACTAAGCAGCATCAGGCCTGGATAGTACTTTGAAGGAAACCACTAGTGAATATTAGGAATCTTGAGACAGGAATATAAAAGAATTCCTCCTGTAAATCCTGGAGGTAAAGCTGATAATACTGGACTGGATGGTCCAATGATCTTACCCATCATAAGGCATTTTACTATGCCTCTATGTATATTTTAAGAGGAAGTAATACAAATGCTCTCCTCCCTCCCTCCCTCCCTCCTTCCCACCCCCCTCTGGCAATTTAGTCTTGAATAGGCCTTTGAACATTGCTGTGTATCTTGCCTGCTAAATGCACAATGCTGTCTGATGCTCTTGGATCCATGTCACATAAATGGAAATAGGCTTCTAAAATAAGTATCAAAAGCTTTGATTCCTTGACAGAAGAGATGATGTAATCCCATCTGGAGATTATCAAGGGGGAAAAAATAGAATCTGTTTTTTTAACTGCACTGTCTGGAGAAGGAAACACTATTTCAAGACTGCTGTTTTTGACAATTGTATTTTGCCTTTATTTTGTCTGTATGATGTATTTCAGACCATGAGAATGTTTCATAGTTCTTGACACCACTTGTTGCTGCTTGTTTGACATAAAAACACCTCAAATGCTGAACAGTAAGAAGTGGGGCAGATAGAAATTCTCAATGCTCATGACAACTCCCCCAAATTTTAAAGAGCTTTTAAGTAGGGCATCATAAATCATTTGCATTCCTAGCTAGTATGTCTGGCAGGCCTTAAAGAAATCCATATAAACCATGATGTGATGCTGGGGAAAATGTTATGTGGTTAAAAATATTTTTAAAGCCTTCTGACAAGGGTTTAATGAGCACTACAAATGTAAGGTTCTACTATCAGTTGACATGGATTTACAAGTGTCATTGCCTTTTCCCATAGTAGTGGAATTCAAAGATATATGATAGTATGTAGAATCAGTATGTAGAGAGATCTTGTAGCACCTTTGAGACTAACTGAAAGAAAGAAATCGGCAGTATGAGCTTTTGCAGATTTCAGTCTACTTCCTCATATGCATTTATTATGCTACAAGATCTCTCTACATACTTTCTTTTCCCATGGAGAGCCATGAGGCAGAGGTTTAATCCAGCATTAGTGTAGTGTACATTCACTAAAGCAATGAGACTTTCTTCCCCTTTTCTCATCCTTCCAGTTCAGACCAAAACCTAGTCTGGTGGTTTTCAGAAATGGTTCTATCAGCAAAATGACAGCTTTAGGTTCAATATATATATATATATATTGTTAAAGGGAGACATGTATGAATATAATAGCCTGAATCCTATTGTCAGTCCCACTTAGAGCACATCCATTGAATCAGTGGGATTTACCAATATGTTGACCTAGCATTCAACAATTTATTCTATGGCTGAGATGCTGCATCATCAGATGGAACTACAGTTATGAGGCTCTGTCTTCATAGCTCCATCTGCCAATGCTGTTCCCAAAATGCATGTCTTAAGGTTTCTGAGGCATTGCACTAAAACATAACTGCAGTGCTTTTACAGTCACAGGCCATGTTGAGGCAGGAGGTGGAAAAGCCTCTTGAGGTCCTGCTGTCACTTTTTGTTTCAAGGCATTGTTAGAAAACAGTGTGATCATCATTTTCTAGGGCACTGATCTTCAGCACCTTGGAAACTCTCCAGGTGGGACACTGCTTGGCTTAACATGCAGGTTTTTGGGGGGCCGTGTTTGGTCATTAGCAATCATAAACATGAATTTTAAAAGTTCAAAGACTCTAAATCCATCTTCCAATCTTGTAAATACTAAATAGGATCCCAGCCTGTGAGTCTGCTCTGGTTGGGACTGACCAATAAGATTCAGTCTGTTATCAATGATTCCAGACATTTGCTCTCTGTGAATGGTGGCTTCTCCTCTGGGTTTTATAAAGGAACTTTTCAAGGTTGTTGTTAACTGCCCTCCAGTCAATCTCAATTCATGGTGACCCTATGGATCACACACATCCAAGGCCTCCTGTTCTCCACAGCTCTGCATAGTTCTTTCAGGCTTGTAGCTGTAGCCTCCTTGATTGAGTCTATCCATCTAGTATGCAGTCTTCTTCTTTTTCTTCTACCCTCTACCTTTCCAAGCATTATTGTCTTTTCTAGTGAGTCATACCTTCTCCTGACATGGCCAAATATGACAGCTGCAATTTGGTCATCCTGGCTTCTAGAGAGAGCTCAGGCTTGATCTATTCCAATAGCCATTTGTTTGTCTTCCTGGCCATCCACAGTATCCTTAGCACTCTTATTCAGCACCACATCTCAAATGAATTTATTTTCTTTCTGCCAGCATTCTCCAGTGACCAGATCTCACATCTGTACACGATGGCTTGGACAATTCTAATTTCAGTGTTCAGAGTTATATCTTTGATTTTTACAATCTTGTCCAATTCTTTCATAGCTGCCCTCCTCATTCCTAGTTTTCTTATGATTTTTTGTCTGCAATCACTGTCCCCCCAAAGGTATTGAATCCCATTCCCAGAATAAGTTTGACACCATGCAGCACTCCTTTGAAGTTTAGACTCATTGCTCTACTGATTTGGAAGCCACCAGTTTTTTGTGGCTCAGGTCATGTAGCTATGACTACAGTTTTTTATGGCTCAGGTTATGGAATTAGGAATCATTCTGACTCTCTCGATGCTGGTTTGAATGCAGGGGCCCATGGCATCACTGATATATATCCAGTGTCTTGAATGTATAATTTCCCCCTTCATTTTAGCATTAGCAACATTACAGCCAGCATAGTGTAATGGTTTGAGAGTTGGACTAGGACTCTGGAGATCAGGGTTCAAATCCCTTCTTGGTAGCCATAGAAAGTGCTAAGTGACCATCCACTCAGTTTATGCTGATTTGATTGTTTCCATTAGCTCTACACTTTGCTTTGAAGTGTTAATCTAAATTAGATCATCAAGAAGTCTTTGCTTTGATACTGATTTTGAAGTCCAGATCCAATACCAAAAACACTTAGCTGTTGCTGCATAAACAGCAGCAGTGGTGTAAGCTGGTAAGGTTAAATGCAAATGTCACTTGTTACAAAGCAGTGGGAACACAAGGCATGAGTGAATGCTCTGTCACCATGATATAAGGTGAAATTAGATCTGCAGAACTGCACTGTCATGAAGTGTGTGTGGTTTGTGTGACAAGGACAGCACATCTGGAGATTAATGTTTTTGAAGAGGCCAGACACTTTATTGTGTATTGGGATACACCTGTGTGTGTATGGCTAAGCAGAATGAGGTAATGTACAATAATGTATGAGAAACCCTGCAATGAGGTTGCATCAGACAAAGGTTTATATGTTTCACTTAATTGTAAACATATATGGGTCTTTGTAGATGTGGAGAGAAGGAATTGTGAGTAGTTGTGAAAAGAATCAGTGCTGTTGGTGTATAGTGAGTATATCAGAGAGTTCTGTATAGCTCTGTTCCTGTTGAGCTACTGAGGAGGAAGAGAGTGTATTGTTTCCATTCTGGAACTCTGTTCTGATTCTGCATTTGTAAACAGTCTTCCTGATCATCTGTAAATAAATTTCTTCACCATGAGCTGTCCATTTCTGCTTCCTGATTTCTAAAGGTATCTCAAGGTCTGACAGAGATACTGAAAATCACATTCATGCCTCAACCTCAGTGTAACACCTGTTACAAAGCAGTGGGAACACAAGGCATGAGTGAATGCTCAACAATTCCTGTGATCATGGCAATGATGGACAAACCTGTTGAAATCACAGAAATTACTATATGTATACCAATACATAAAGCTCATTTAATCTCTATGTGAATGAGTTGTTAAGAGTCAAAGTACATTTCCCTTAATTACATTTTCTTTTATTTTTAAAAGTTCTAAAGTAGGTTCAGGAGCCCCATTCTAAATTGCATTTTTGCATGGGGCATAGGAAGGATTTAATCATTTGCACCCTGCTGTGGACCTTTGAGCTTACAATTAACATGCCAGAAATAGTGCAAACTGAGTCCACTTTAACTGCCCTGACTCAGTGCTAGGGAATCATGGAACAGTAGTTTATTGTGGCACCAGAGCTCTCTGACAGAGAAGGCTCAATGTCTCAGAAAAAAAAAAAATTCCCATGATTCCCTAGCACTGGGCCATGGCAGTTAAAGTGGACTCAATTTGCACTATTTCTAGCAGTCTGCAAAAGCCCATTTTCTCCAAAGTGACTTATTTGTTTCACTAGCAATATAAACAGCAATGTAAATTGGTATGGGTCCCCTGATCGAGATCCAAATCACAGTTTTGAAAAAAAGATTACATCTTTTCTCATAGGGAGTTGCTGACTTGAGATCTGGCTTGAACATTCCTACTCTTGTTTTGTGGAATTTTATATTGAAACCATCCCAGACATGCTCTCCATTCCTATCCATCACTGGCTAATTCAGTCTCCACTTGATATGTATCTTTTCTTCTTCGTATGCTGACCATACCCTTGATTGCATCAATTGAAAAAAAAAAGGCTCTAGTATATTTCTGTTTAATTTAATTTTCCATTTTGTGTCACTGTATTCTCCAGTGGTCTTTATTTCTTACTTTCCTATCATCTGATTTGAAATTCTTCCATATCAAAAGCAATATATAAACAACTACTCTCAACCATATAGAGGTCCCCCCCCCAAAGAATAGTGAGATTCCATTAAGAGATGCCTCGCCATTTTCTTTTATATCATTACTACAGTGAAATGGATGAGGCTGTCTGGCAAGCAGCTCCCTGTTTGTACAGTTACATTCTAAAACATATATGGTTCATTTTCCTGACATTGTGTGATTGATCTGTAATTGCATCTTGACCAAGAATATACTTTCAAAGACTTTGTGAGTAACTAGGAAGCATTTCATTAGATACTTCAGATAAAGGAGCAGTTTCTTTCTGACACTGCGGGACTGCTTCACGCATTACAATATTCCTACATCAAAGTAATCTTGAAGCAAGAAAGACTGTGAGAAGAGACCTTACTTTCTTGTATCAATAACATATTCACATGAAAGAAATTGAAAATATCATTTTATCTTATTTTACCTGGAGAGATGGCAGCAGGTGAATAGAATTAGATCAATATATTATTGATGACACAATAATCAGTTATAAAAGTAGGTGGAGGTGTAACCTACCAAGTTGATTGGCTATAGCAGGGTTAGGCAACCTTTCCCCTTTAAGGGCCGAGGGACTTCAGCTCCCAGAATCCCAGGAGCTATTGGCCAACATGGGACTATTGGCCAACATGACTGAGGCTTCTGGGAGCTGAAGTCCCTCGGCCCTTAAAGGGGAAAGGTTGCCTACCCCTGGGCTGTAGCATTGCTTCTTAAGCTACCTGGTGTGGGGGACCAGCAAATTTCCCCCCATTGCTCCAGATACTGGTAACATATTTATGTCCATTGGCTATCATTATTTTTTCTTTCTTTCCTGGAAGCTCTCTAGGCACCCACAGCAGATGGCTCAAATACCATCACTGGTCTACAGACACCACTATGAATAGCACTGGGTTATAGTTTGGGGTTTTCCCCTCTCTCTCTGATGCAAGAAACTTTTTCTCTAACTTCCCAACAGACAATGTACTTGGTTGATGACTTGGTAATTGGTTGGCAAACTGGACCCACTGAGTCTAGTGCTATTCAGCATCCTTATAAATGACTTGGATGATGGAATAGAAGGCATGCTTGTCAAATTTGCAGATGACACTAAATTAAGAGTGATAGATAATAGGGCAGAGGACAGGATCAGAATTCAAAATATCTGTTAAAAGATTATAAAGCTGGGCCAAAACTAACAAAATGAATTTCAACAGGGAGAAATGTAAGATACTATGCTTGGGCAGTAAAAATGAAATAAACAGATATAGGATGAGTGACATCTGGCTTGATGACAGTACATGCCAAAGGGATCTAGGAGTTTTAGTAGACCATGAGCTGAATGTAAGTCAGTAATTGATATGGTAGCTAAGAAAGCCAATGCAATTCTAAGCTGCTTAACAGGAGTGTGGTTTCTAGACTGAGGCAAGTAATAGTACCACTCTACTCTGCTTTGGTCAGACCTCACCTGAATATTGCATCCAGTTCTGGGCACCAAAATTTAAGAAGGATGTTGACAAGGTGGCGTGTGTTCAGAAGAGGGCAACCAAATGGTGAAAGGTCTGGAAACCATGACCTATGAGGAGTGACTTAGGAAACTGGATATGTTTAGCCTGGAGAAGAGAAAGTTAAGGGAGGATATGACAGCCATTTTTAAATACTTGAAGGGGAGTCATATTGAGGATGGAACAAGCTTATTTTCTGCTGCTCCAGAGAATAGGACCTGGAACAATGGATGCAAGCTACAGGAAAAGAGATTCCACCTAAACATTAGAAAGAACATCTTCATAGTAATAGCCATTTGGCTGTGGAACATGCTCTAGGATTCTATGATTCCATTCCCTATTTGTTTGTTGTTAGGATTTTTTTTTTGTCTGTTTGTCTGAGGAAGGCAAACTGCATGCTATTTGCAGACTTAAATCATAGCTTTTAAAATTTAACTCTGCTGTTCATATGGTTCACTGATTTTCTCAGTTCTGTAGCACTCTGCTAACAATTCTAACATAATCTAGCTACTTACGTTTAAGATATGTGTTATGGTGCTAAGAAGGACTACGGAGATCTGGAGCAGATGAATTCACACTAAATTATCTCCTGCTATTTTTAGTTTTCAATTATAATGATACAAAGCATGGCTGCAGGTCTATTTTTTGGCTCATTTTATACTCAGCATTGGGTATTGTGAAAGAACTGGATGATTTATTACATAAAATATAGAGTTTACAAAGTTTGGTTCTTATTCTATTTGTGTTCATTTTTGTCTTATTATTTCTCTGTTTCTCATAATGTTGTGAAGGTGAAATGATCATGCTGAACTTGCCCCCAAAAGTTGCTAGCTAAGAAAATGTAAAATAGGAGACACATGCTGATAGATGATTACTCCTTTATTTTCTTATTATTTTAAAAAGCCCAATATGTTTTAGCCTCTATAAAAATTGCCCTTCTTCACGGGCTACACTATAAAAATACAAATAAAATTCATTACATATATTAACTTGGACAATACAAAAATCAGTAAAATTACTTACAAATGTATAAAATACATTGTTCAACATGTGTACATACATACCTTCGAACAGAAATTTCTGCAGCTGTATAAGACACTCTCCAAAGAATTGGACCATTATGCAAAGAAAACAAGAGACCATCATTCTTTCTTATACATACATGAACAAAGGTAGTCAGGAGAGAAAAGGAGCCAACAATTTCTCTGAGTGTCATGAATATTTCATCAGTTCACTTCATATACCTTTCATATTTGTCTTTATACTTGGGATTGTAATTCTAATTTTCATTTAACCTGCTGGAACTAGTGAATTTAATCCTAAAACCCATTCTCTCTTCCCCCCCCCCTTAAATTGAAAAATATTTACCTCTTGATCAGAGACCCTACATCATTAACATTAAATGAAAGAGTAGTTAAACTACCCATATTTAATACTTTTTCTTTCTAATAAGCTTATCGTACTGTGTTCTCATAATGTAATGG